GTCCCTCAATACATCACTGTATTCCTGAGTAAGCTTAATTGATCATAATAAGGCAATCAAATGTGAATATTTTTTGCTCTTTGATTTCTAGAATGCCATTTAACAATATAACCAAAATGAGACTAAAGACATGAGTTATGCCAAATTAGAAATTTATCAGAAAATCAAATATTTATATTAATGAAAGAGAAGGAGTGACATTCTGCATCTGCCCAGCTCTGGGGAAAAACAAGGCCTCAAATACTCGATTTTTTGTGCTTTGTGTTTAGCCAGTGCCCAGTGATGGCAGACATTTTAAACAGCAAGGAAAGGCTGTCGTTCATTCCCCACTTGGTGACATTAACAACTTCAGCAGCCCTTGACTCAGGCCACTGGTGCAGGTCCTTCCAGACCTCCCCACTGTGCCAGTACAGCTGCTTAGTCAGAGAATGAGTCCACGATTTTTCTTGCAGCCAATCAGCCTGGAAACTGGTCCAGTCGAAAAACAATCCTATTTCTTTCTTGTGATCCTACTTTTTAGCTGGATAAGCTCCCTGATCCTGTACACTCTGCAACTCAGTGACCAGCTGTGGTGGGACAAGGATGGGGACTGCAGGAGGTCAGGAGTGAGTGGGTGGAAGCAAGACAGGGAAGAATTGTGCTTAGAGTTGCTTGGGCAGCACTGAAGCCAAATGCCTAGTTAGGAACTAAACTCCCTAACTATTGAGTAATATTTTTTTTAAATTTTTTTAAGTTTAAGTTTTTTATCTCAATTTTAAAAAATAAATAAATCTGCTCCCTTACCAGGCTTTCTATCATCAGATTTAGGCTCTATTAGAAGTTTAAAGATCCTTTCCTCTCCTCTAATTTGATTGCTTTTCAAAAATCACTTTAGCAAAAGAAAGGGAACTCAGAAAAAAACCTAATTTATCATTCCAGCTCATAAAATAATGTAACTCGTTGTTCTGGCTGGTGTTAATAATATTTATATTGGAAAGGTCTAGGGCAATATCCTTGAAAACACAATTGTTTTCTGCACCATCAGCAACCTATTAGCCAGAAAAAATCAAAATTTTGTACTTCGGAGCTTTTTGGGTACTTGCTCAAATTAAAGCTTTCATTTCCCTCATACCCTCCATACATATTTCAGCAAATTACCCATGGAAAAAGTTCCAAAATTAGAGAGACAAGGTTTAATTTTGAACAATCCAATTCCTAATCCAATGCTTTCTTATTATTGCTTCTGGATTTAACAAGGCTATTTAGCCTACAGGAGAAATCCTTTTAATAATAGAATTCTGATGTAGTATTTTTGGGAGATCTCTGCCTTTCTTCCTCTTGATTCTCCAACACCACCCACTTCTTTTTCCTCCACACACATGCACCCACTTAGTTAATTGTGTGTGATCACTAAACACGGACACATGTGGGCATGAGAGTCCCTAATCAGACAGGCACAGAAACAAAAGCTCTATCCTTCAAGGACAGGGCAATTTCTGTCAGGCATTTTAAAGCCAAGGCAGGTCATTGAAGTTATTATTAGCACTAATTAGCACTCCCACAAGCTGTTGAATTCTTTACCTGCAGCCAAAGGCCACTCAATATGGTGCAAAATTTGCTCACATCTTTGAAAGAATCAGAGAACTGGCTCCTCTTTAGAAACACCGGGTTGGTCCATTGCATGTGAATAGGCTTTTGGGAAAAATATGTCTGATCCATGTACCAAAGGATCTACAGAAGCAGAGATATGATGAAACTGTTCCAAAACAAAGGAATTCTACAAATGTCTAAACAGATTTTGTGAGAAAAGGAAGACATCTGGCCTTACTTTTTATAATGGTGCTGTATTTTAAACTTTCTAGCAGGTTACAGACAATTCATACTCCATCTCAGCTACACTGCTGTTCTTTTAAGTTGGTGTTTTATGTGGGAATTTGAAGACAAGTCTGTATGAAAACTGATTTTTTTCCCTTGTGAGTAGGCCTCCCTTGAGAATGAGAGAGATCTGAACTGAATCACTGAGCTCCAAATAAAACACTGATCCTAATGCTGACGGTGGCTAAGAACCGATGAAAGCCCAGCCAGCCACCTCTTTTGTATCTTAAGCACATTTCTAACAAAGTGCCATAACAGGGAGGCCTGGCAATAGCTCTCATTAGTAAAGAGCACTGCTACAGGGGACCACAAGGATTTATTTGAAAGAAGGGAGAAAGAAATGTTTTAGAATCAGCTATTTTGGGTCTGTAAGATAATGCACACCATGACCTTTAGTCTAGAGATAAATTTTCTACAAAAGTAAGCAAAATTGTACCAGGAGTCAAAAAAAGTAACCTATTATCAAAAATAAAATTAGCAAATATTGACTGTGGAACCTACTATGCAGGAGCCTAAAGGATTCCCCTCCAAAAACAAGTCACTATCCTGTGTGGCAAGAAGTTGGAAACAATGGGGAGTCTTGAAAGGTAACAGGCAAGATGTCTCTCCAACTATCATTCCTTGCAAAAGTGAAAAGCAGAGAGTGAGAAACACAGAATAAACACTGCTTTAAAAAAACCCAGGCCCAGCTCACTGCAGATTGACAAGCTGCAGCTCTTCATTAGCTGGACATGCAACCCAGCATCCAAATGCCATCCAAACTGGGGGCTTCCTGTGTCACTCAGTTGTATCTGAGTTTGTGTCTGTCACAAACTCAAGCTCCTCTTGGCCGTGCACTGTCACACTGAACACATTTTCATCCAGGCAAAAGTCAAATCACAGAGCTGGAAACAAGGCCCCCAGGATCTTCATCGGTCCCTTCCATGGGACACAACACATCACACTGTGTGGTTGCAAAGGTCAGCCAGCCCCTTTTGTTTTGACTGTGTGCCATCCTGAAAGCACCACTCAATATTTTAAAGAACTCTGCAGCTCTGAAGCACCAGTAATATCAATGGTCACAATTTTAGCATGATCAGTATTATTACCTCTGCTTTAAATTAGGCACTGAAAAACACTGAGCTTCCAGTTACTATGAGACAGCATTCAACGCCAGGACTGGAATCCTTATTTTTAGCCTCTGGGTCCCATTCTTGAAGCATTTGCTTTGTCACACTCCGGCCAGGAATGCATTTCCTCTAAAATTAATATACAAACAGCATCAAAATTCTGGCCTTCACTCCCTCAGTGATGGTACCATTATGAAGATGAATCAAGGTCACTGCTTTTTTATTTGTGTTATCCATTTTTCGAAAAGAAAGCCCCACAAACCGAGATGTGACACTGGCTGCTGATGGAATCTCTGTCATTTTCTGCAATTTGCAACAATTGGTAGCATTTTCATTATTTAGAGACTTGATTTCCTGACACCAGGGCACAGCTACAAGGTAAATTTCTGGGAACACACAAATGACATAATCTATTTCCTTTAGTATGATGCCAGCAGCTGAAGGGTGAAATAATTGCCTGGAAGTGCATTGAGTTGCTTCATTCTGCTAAACCAATTAGGATGATGGGAATTCTGGAACTAAATCCCTAGACACCTAACTAAAATTAAGCCTTTTAAACACTGTGACAGAAATTAATGTCAAATGCTTCAGGAACACTTTCCCTCATGGAGACAAACCTCTCTACAAAAACCAGCGTTGCTAACTCATAATTAACTCTCAGAAAGGAAAAGAGCAAAATTTTCTGACTGTGATGATTCTCACACAGTTGGCTCATTGACAAGCCTTTTCTAAGGTTACAAAGTTAAGTAAAGGTTGCCAAGCACTGATAGTATAATAGGACCATGGGATGCCTTGGATGTGCATTTAGAGGTTCCATTTACCAAATAAACAGGAGCTGGACAGATCCAAAGAATGGGGACGGTGCTTATTTTAGGAGACATTACAGATGGTTTTCCAGTTTGTGTTTCAACAAAAAAATTGTGCAAAATTAGAGAACTGAAAACACAAATCTCTCATTTTGTTATTGTGACGTGAGGGATCATGATTCTGGTGTCTCAGGGCTAGAAGGCATGTATACTACCCTGGCCAGTGAACAACTTTAAAATGAAAATAACCAAACATTAAATGCATATTTATAAGCAAACAAAATTCAGATGAGTGTGAGCATTAAAAGTGTTTCACTCACAATTTCACTTGGTAAGGATTATTCACATTATTTCTAAATCACTTTCACTAAATTAAGAGTCACGTGTTGCTGTTGTATCTTTGCATTTTTTCCATATGTTTTAGCCTGGATCAATTCAAATGTTTAAGGCATTAAATACACTTTGAACAAGAGTTGTAAGCTCAAAGGAGGAATCTGACCCTATAAGAAGCTCTTTTGGCATACTCTGGTATTCACCTGACATTTCCAGGCAGCCAGTACATCTGTGGGTGAATTCAGAGGGTCAGCATAGTAAAGGCAACAGGAAAAAACAGGGAATTTTTAAATACACAGAGAACAAACAACTAAAGAATTTCAGACTTTGCTTATCACACCTAATCTCCAGTGCCAAGCTATCTAACCAGCTTGTCTACTGTATCACCTATGCAAAACTGAGGAGAGCAATGCTGAGATAGCTATACTTTGAAATAATGCTTTAAAATCTCTGTCTTTACCAAAATTATTCTGTTTCAGAAGAATATAATCTTTACTGCTCTAAGTGAATTTTTCTGCCAGGAAAATAACTTCTCCCTTTTATCAGTGTTGATACATCCTGTAATCTACCCTGCATCAGTTACATATGAGCCACCACACAAAGAGATTACACTGACCATTATCCACTCATCATGGAATAAGATGATAAGCAGGATTCTAAAGGGCAAGACTTGTTTGTAGTTTCCACTATGACCAAACCCGAATGTTCCAATCATTTGCTTTTCAAAACAAAAATGACGGTTCTCTCTGTTCACTCTCATTTTACCTATTAGGAGTCATAGAAACATGATAAAATATGATGATATTTTCTTAACAAGGTACCTTCCCACAGTCAGGAGAAAAGTGTTCAAGAGCAGCAGATGAAATGTTATGTGAAAGCCTAAATTCATCATTCTTACGTGACCACTCTGGTTTCCTGAACCTGCTCAATCCCAGGGATTTTTGTAGGTTTGCTCCATTCCATAAAAATCCAAACTTAGGCGACTTCACCATTTCTATCAAGTTTGCTCCTGAAAAAGAAATAATCCAATCAGAGGAAGGAGACAAAAAGAGATCTGATCAACAGGTTTAGAGTTTTTTATAATATAGGCATTTCCCACAGTCTCCAGTCCTGACCACTAAGTCAGAAAACAGAAAGACAATTCCTGAACATACTAGAACATGAAGATTAAGCTCCTGGAATCGGGCTACGCTCTTGACACCCCAAGTTCTTAAATAATAGAAATGATGCAATCCTCTGAGAAGCTTCTTGCATTGTGAAGTAGTCGGATAAAATATTCATGTTCTTAAATAGAACTGCTAATAAAAAAATAAGGCTGGCTGTCAGTGCTGCTTGCAAGATGGTAGTGAAATGTGAATAAAAGCAATAGAAAATAGCATGCCAACAACTCCCCCCCTGTGGGAGGGGAGTGCTTGGGAATCTCTCTGGACTGGTTCTAGTCTAGTTCTGGGAATGGGCACCCATCAGAAGCTGGAGCACATCAGGCACACTCTCAAGGCACAGGTTTTGGGGTGGATTACTCTGCAAGGAGTCTGCTTTGAGTGCTCCCAGATCACTCCTCAATGCAAATGCATGCATGGAAAGATGGGGAGATTTGTTTGAAAAGTGACCTCCTGTGCGAGAACCACAAATCCAGCCAACGGATTCCCGTGACCCATCCCCACTTAAGTCTGCACTCTTTCTAGGAAGGCTACTTCTGACACTCCTGATTTTAAAAAAGACACCATCAACAAAACAACAATAACAAAAATAAGGAGATGGGGGGAGACAAAATGTCAGATGGATTAGACCACTTGATTGCTGCTGGCAGACTTTCTGTGCTTGCTTTCTACCACACATATTCTTTCATGTCATTCCCTTTCATTGTGGGGCTGGAGAATACCTGGTACCATAGAAAGAGTGAGACAAAGCCTCCACAGTGAGGATTTAGGCTCATTTAAAATAGCTTTGAAACATGGTCATATCCCTAAAAATCCATTTTTTGTTTATTTTATAATGGACTCAATACTTCCTAAACCTATTTATAAATTCCTTCATCTTACGCACGCTGTATCTTGCTAACAACATTTTATTTTTAGAAAATTCCTTTGCCTGACAATTTTGCAGACTTGACTCAACCAGTCTCCTGATAAATTCAAATTAAAAACTTGATAATTAAACACGGAGAAGTATTTAATCCTGTCATAATCTTTGGCTGTCTGAAACATCAGAAGCTGTTATAAGGAAACTGATTTGTCTCCATAGCAAAAAAAAAAATAAAATCTAGAAGCTTGTCTGCTTTAATGAATCTGTTGCAAGACAGCTTTCAGAGGAAGGCCCAGCCACCCAGGCAAATTTTAGGCAATCTCCATAAGGTTTGGTGTTGAAGAGATTCTCTCATTTTGGCACTGCTACTGGCTTAGATTCCAGCTCTCTTGCTCTTTTGGCCAAGGTGCTGTTTTCCCCTACACTGCAGAGATGATGGGCCTCAGCTAACAGTTCCTGTGGTGCATGTCAAATTGCCCTGTGTACTAATATGTTTTATTCACAATTTTTAGAGTTTGAAGTTAGATTAAATGACAAACAGAACAATACAGATAGTGAATCACCAAAGGAAGTCCTTATTTGCTGAGGTATACTTTTATCAGAGACCCCGTAAGTTACTTGAAGCTTGTCTGTGTCTCCACAATTCATATTTCCTCCTCCAAGATACTCTGTCTTCCCTTTCAGTAAATACAGTCTGCACAGTCCTACTGAAAGTTAACTTTTTATTCAAGTTGGCAAACAGGCCAGCTATTGTATCCTCTCTGAATACTGCTTTTATCTGACAGGTCTGTGAGTCAGCAACATCTCCCTTAAATACCCACTCCCAGTATCACATGCACAATCACCACAGCATCGTGTTCAAGCAAATGATGCTCAGCAAATATGTCCTGGGCACGTCTAGTCCCAGACTAGTACAGCACCAACAGGATTTAAACTTGGAAAGGCTCTTGCATATCTCAAAGCTACACTGACTTAATTTATGCCTTCAGATGGAGTTATCTTTCCAAGCAAAGCACAACACCAGTTAAGTCACAAGCCTCGTAGGTGTGGGAAGAAAGGAGGCAGCCCAGGAGTGCTGCTGTAATGGAATCCTGTGTTTTCACACCTACACCACCTCTATTGGATCAGCAACTGGGCAGGATTGTCCGGGCATGTTCCCTGCACGCTGGCCAAGCTCTTTATTTGCTGACACAGTCACGTCCTACAGAGCCAAGGACAAGACTAAGAAAGCTGACTCAACTGTGCTTTGCTGCCTGGGAGGTTTAGGGTGTTCAGTGCCAGTGAGCAGCTCTGGACCCCAGGCAGAAATGCTACAGTAAACTCCTTTAAATGTTTTACTGCCCAGTTATTCTCCATACATGAAGGAAACGTCAGTTCCATGAAGACCATCCAGTAGATCACAGAATAGAATCTAACAGATAAAAAGCAATTAAAATTGAATTAGAAGGTTAAGAATTTTTGACAAATTAATTGTTATTTCATTTCCACTTGATTCTAGTTGGAACTGCAAACATACTGAAGCACTGTGAGAAATGCTGCCCTGCCCTTGTGATCTCTCTTGGCATCTCTGGGATGCTTCCAGTGTGTTCTGATATACCAGGAAATACACACAAAAACATGTTGATGTGAAAATTCCACGTCAGTTAAATGTGGCAGACTAGGAAAGGTTCTGGCAAGGGTGGGTGAGCATCTCCCAGGACAGTTTTATAAAATGAACCATTATGACAGAGGTTGTATAAACAACTGCAAACCTCTTATGTCAACCAATTATTCCACCTGTCCTGAAAAGGTCTGTCCAGCTACACTGGCAGCTACAAAATGCATGTGGAGCACAGCCTGCCCATATAAATAAACTCATACTTGTGTAAGATTAAGAGCATTAGGTTTGTTAATAAAAACCAAAATAATCCCTACCTCCATTCCCAAAAAGCCTTTGTTTAGGATTAAATAAATTGCAAAGCTGCTAATAAAAGAAGCAATAAAGCTGAAAGACTGAAAAAGAATTATGCTTATGACAAAATGAACATTCATTTTAAGGAATAATTATCCCTATATTTCAACAAATGCACACCAAAAGTTGGCCACAGCACAGCTACTACTTCAGGTCTGTGCAGCACCACAGAAACAAGAATAAAATTCAGAATACTTAGAATATCAACACTATAATTACATAGCAGCATAATTACAGCTAATTACCTTAAAGGTTAGGAATGAACCTGTGTAAAATAAAGGAAATTCTTCTTTTAGTTAATGGAAGGTTTGGCTTATAGATTTGTCAGGCCCAGGTAGGGGAAAATGTATTTCTCTTTTAAAAAATAACATGCCCTTTATGTGAATCTATAGCAGAAAATTATGGGAGTTATTAAACTCACTGTAGAGGGGTAATAGATGGTTCTAATTCAAAATAAACTGAGTAGAGTGTGACTTTTGCTGCTTGCAGTGGCAGTTGTTTAGTTGAGGCAGTCTCCCATAAATCTGAGCAAAATCCATGATGCTGCTGCAAAACAAAATGAAAAACAAAGGCGACAAATAGCTTCACTTCCATTTATAACAACTGACCCAGGCCCCATGGAAAACATGTGATATATCTCCAGCTGAGAGCTGCAGGGGCCTGGGAAGCAATGATATACACCAGCACTCAGCACAGTTGCATATGGACTGTCTGTTATCAGATGTAAACTTAAAAAAAAAAAAAGAGTATCACAAAACAAAACAAAAAACCCCCTGAAAAACAGCCAAGCCTGAAATGTCAATTTAATCATTAAATGCAATCACAACAATGTACCATCAGCAATATTAGACACTGTACAGAAAATGGATCAATAGAAAATGCCTGTAAAGTGCAGAGCAGAGGTAGTTGCCCATCGCTGCCAATGACAGCAGCCAATGTGTTCCTCACAATCAATTTGATTATAAATTCTCAGGTTGTCTGTGTTGTCCAGATTGCACCAGGAACACTCAAAATAGGCAGGATAACAATCATAGCACTGAACTAAAACTGAGGTGGAGTGGGAGGGGATGTTTAAGGGTTTTTTTTCTTTAAAGCTCTCTTTGGATTTCGTTTCTTCAATTAGCTCAGTATAAGTTGGGGTTTGGGTTTTTTACTCTAATTAAATTATCATAAGCCATCTTTTGCCACTTTACACTGGCTTATCACACTCTCGATGGCTGATGGAAGTTATTTATTTTTCTTTCTTTCCTTAGGTTAAGTCACCTAAATTATTAAGACTTTACAGAATAAATAATTAAAGAAATAACTAATTTAGTACCTCCCTAACATTTCAGCAGAAATACAGTAGCATTTTCATTCACAGGAAAATACATACAATTTCTCAATTCCTTTTGAGAAATACTTACATTAACACTCCTAGAAATCAGTAATTCTAAAACCAGAAGAAAATAATGGAACCTCTACAATGACTTCACTTGCTGCATACGTTATTTTAAAATTTACATTTCTTAAACATGCCAGGTCAAATCAATTCATGGCTTTTTATTAACCTGACCTTCTTGCTGAGAAGTAACAGCTCTCAATACCAAATATCATCACCAACAGTGAGAGTTATTATCTCCATGTCTGCCTAGCTGCTTGTATGTCTGCACTTCTACCTTGTTTTCTCCTCATATTTATTCTATCCAAATCAATATGGTCATGAGTAACCATGACACTCAGCTTCTGCTAATGCTCACTGGAGTTGGAGCTATCACAATACTTTATTACCACTAAGTTGTTTGGGGTTTTTTTGTTTGTTTTTTTTTTTCCAAAACAGAGGCAAGTTAGTACTTGGAAAAGAGAACACAGCAGTAACCTTCACAAGCAAGATCTCATGTCTGCTGTGAACCACAGCCAAACTCACCTGCTCATTTATTACAAAATGACTCATTAACGAAGATTTCCCCCTAGGATCCCCCAAATCTATTGCCCTGTAGTTTTAGTCTAGTAACAACTAATTCTGTGATGAATTAGGTTCAAATATATCCTCTATTTTTTCTGCTAGAAATAAATTTTTCAAGTGTCTGGTCACACAGTAAAAAATCTTTTTTTTTTTTTTTATGATTTTATCATTCTTGAACAACTTTTTTTTTTTTAATTAAAGCTGCTATGTTAGTTTTTAAAGAAAAGAAAACAACACCCACAATTCCCTGGCTAAAAATCATCCTGTGTTCATTTCTTCTGTCATTAAAAAATAGAAAGAAAATAGTTCTTACAATCAAAATCCATGATGTGCACTATAGAGAGGAAAAAAATTCCAGCAGCATAGACAAGAGTCTGATGAGCTGGTCTAGGGAGTGTGGGTGCTTAGACTTTTGCTCCTTTGCCACTACACCATTAATTCCCACATTGTCCTAGATATCAGTATGAATGCACTTTGTATTTATTTCTCTCCTGGAGGAGCACTAGAACAGTGAATCAGTGACACAGAATGTTTCTGCTGTCATTATTCCCTGTCAGTGAAGGGCAGAATGCTGTCATTGCAGACTTCCTTAACTAAATATTCTGTGTCCAACTGTCCATGCTGGTTTCATTACACTTATGAGCCTTTGATAAACCCAAGAAAACTCTTGCCTCAATGGAGTAAAATGGGCTCTTCCTATAGATTTTTTTCTGTGTTTCTCAACACAGGTCTCCAAGGAGAACCTGAGAACTGGATGGTGTGACTGTGGCCTCAGTATGTGCCCCCTTGTCACAGGGATATGGGGTTCCTTCAGCACAATTCACTGGCCTACCATCAGCTATGAGGAAATTTGGGTTTCATTAGTATGCTGGTGATGCTGAGCTCATTTCCCATTTTTTACCAGATCAGAAATGCCATTCTACAGCCAAGATGTACACGTGAATGAGAACAAACTTGGCTGAAGCTGACTCTGCAGTCGACAAAGGCACTGCTGGCAGCTGGCATTGAAATATTCACATTACTCCAGCCTAAAAAGCCGTCTCCACTCTGAGACAATTTCTTTCATCATGCAGAATTATACTGACCAAGTTAGCAGAGGTGATAGTGAATTTGGTTTGGTTTGGTTTTTGAGTGTCAAGACATGAAGAGATTCAGAGAGACTGGAGAGTTCTCAGCTCTAGAACTTGCTCTGAGGACAGGATGAATGTTCCATGTGCAGCACTACAAATAGCATCTTTTCTGAGAAACCACACGTCAGTGTGCTATATTGGGTTGCTCTGCTGTATGACGGGGAAGATTTGAATTGCATATAGGCATGTGGATTTGCTCAGGCCACATAAAACAGCTCAATGCAACAGGAGGTTATATTTCCTAAAGCAAATATTAAACACAATATGGGATTTTTTTAAATGAGGATCTGATATGAATGTTTACTGGATATTATCATAGCTCAGAAGAGAGGGACCAGAGGGAAAAGGAAATTATGCAATGAATTGGAGAGAGGAGACAGGGAAAATAAAATGGTCTGGCAGTGTATAAGACATTATCACCTTCTGTGACTTAGCCACATAAATTATGCTTATTATAACTTCTTAAATAAAAACTTAGCTCTAGAAATTCTAGGCTGAACTCAAATGTAGTGCCAAGTAACAAAGCTGATAAATTCACCTACTTGGTGTTCCAGGCATGGCACACAGAAGTAAATAATTCTGTTTATCTTTTGACTGTGCCCAGGTTGGTCACTAGAGATGAACCAAATGATGGCTTAGAAATAAAAGAAGGTCTTGGGATCATTATAGAGTTTTCTGTAGTTTAATAAAAGGGAACAATTAGATATTATTTCTGGCCACAGATATTTGATTAATTGATATTACTGCTTGCTTTAAGGTTACAATAAAATGCATAGGTTCTGTCTATTTATAGCTAATTTCTGTACATTTGTGCTACAGTGAAAAGATTATAATGTCCAGAGTAGAACTGAACATTGCACACAAGCCAATACACCTGATCTCCATTTTAAAAGTGAAAGGAATTAAGAGCTAAAATCAGTAAGGTGAATTTCCAGAAGTTACTGAATCCTTACACTGGACGTCTCAGGCCATGAACAAACACCTTGCTCAGTCAAGGAGCACTGCCTGTAGCATTCTTCCCACTTCCATCATTTCCTGACACTTTTTGCTTTCCACTTTTATCCAACTCATGCAGTAAGTCAGTTCACATAAGCAATTTCTTTCAAGCAATATAAATCAGAATAGTTTAAACAGTTAAAATAGGTGATGTGAGGTAACCTAGCTGTTTTTCCTTGCAGCAATTAGGCAATGGTCCAATCTTGGAGCACTGGCAAGAGAACAGTAAGGGTGGTAATTTCTGTGGGAGGTGACAAAAACTTGGAGGTGGTAACCTCTTTGGTGGTACAGATGGATGCAGGCAAGGATGCCAGTCCACTGCTGTAATATGCACTGAATTAACTCAGAGGCACATTCAGGTTCTTAGATACAAAGGAAACTCTGCATCCAAATAATTTTGTTTCTATTGTTACAGAAGTTTACTAAAAAAGAAAAAGAAAAAAGTGTTTTTAAACTGCAAAGTGAATTTATATATAGTGAAAAGAAAAACTACTTCTTGAATAACCTTTAACTACTGTTTTATACAATATTTCCTCCCATTTTGTGTCTTTAATTCTTTGCATATGAATAGCAGTTCCACTTGCTTTGCCCTACAAAATATGACAGATTCTAGACAAAACATGCCAACTAAAGTCAGAAGCATGAGTTGTAGTGTTATGTGCACCACCTATGCACAATATGGTAAAGCAGCTTCTGACAAACTTGGGTAGTTAAGAGGATAATGCAGAAAGGTAATCTCCATATTTACACACTCAGGTTTCTGTTTCTCCAGTTCCTGCCTTGTCCCCACGTTCCAGAGAACTGTAGTTCTGAGATTTTGATCTGCAGTGGCAGCCAGCTGTTGCTGTATCCCATGGAGTGCCCCTGCCCAGAATATTACAGGATTGAGCCCACAGTTCAGCCTTGCCCCCTTCTGTGCCCTCACACAGCTACTTGATGCCTTCATGTGTCACATCTCCACTTTGCACAGAAGGGCTGGGACAATGTGCCACTCTGCCATGGTTCTGGTGCTTTTTGTAGGCTTGCCATGTTCAGCAAGGGCAGCTGCTCACCAAGAAGCAGAACTGGCCCTCTGGCTGTTCAGCTGAGCCACTGATCTCTCTTCTGGGTTTGAGAATGTGAGATGGCCATTTCTGGATTGATAACAAGCTGTTCCTTCCCCCCACACTGCATTCATGAGACTCTTTGGCTGTGCTGTGCTGTCAAGCAGCAGAGAGGAATGTGCTTCCAGCTCTCTTTCAAGAATCTCATTATGTTTTCCCAGCCAATTCTATGAAGTTTCACATTGGTGCCCAAATACAATTGGTTTGTAACTATTTGGAGAATTTTTAACTTCTGAGCCTACATAACTCTGTGCTAGTCAAATGAACACAGAGATTATAAAGTCAGTTTTCCAGGCACTTTCAAAGATACTTTTTCTTATGCTAATAGAAAAATAAGAAAAGGTTTAAGTGGGCTGTGTTATTTTTCACAGAACAATCTTGAGCAAATTAAAATGTAAATTTTTATACAATCACTGCTTTTGGATGACAAACCTTTTGCTTAAGTCTTTAGATGCATCCTGCCTCTGTTTGATTTCCACATTTGAAGGCTTCAGAAGAACTTGCCTGATCAGTTCTGTGATCTCTTTTCTAATTTCTTATGCTGACTTATCCGATTTCTGCAAGAGTTTTTAGCTTGCTAAGCCAACAGCAAACTAACCCAGTAGAAAGAAAAAATAATTCTCCCGTGTTGGGTGAGTGAACTGAATGAAAGGAGGGCAAGAGCCATGGCTGGACTGCTCAGGTGTGGGGAATTAGGTCCTCTGAATTCTCCATTATCACCTCCAGGGATGCACAGCTCTCAGGACCAGGGGTTCCACCCTCAACAACACTGCCCACACCTCAGGAACACCTTCAGAACCTGGGAGGGACACGTACCTAAAGACCCCAGAAATGAGGGCCAAGTACATGAAAAGGACAAAATATGGAAAACAACCTCAACTCTTCAGTTTGCTTCATGTCAGTCTACAACTGCTCAACACAAAACATGTAAATAAAAAATAAACCAACTGAAAGTGAATGTTAAAATTTTCTTCAATCTGACATACTGTTCTCAAAATTCAAACACCCACGACTACAGGAACTGAAACAACACATCAACACATCTGACCAGAGACACTCTAAATATCTGGTCACAGATACATCAATACTGAGTACCCTAGAAAAAAAATTAACAGTCATCCAGGAAATTAGTGGTTGACTTATGCCCTGAAGCATTTTGAAGGTTATCCAAACTACTGCAGCTGTTCTGTTAGCATGTCCTTCATCTGCATTAAGAAGCATGCTCTGGACCTGGAAAAAGTGTTCAGCAACGCATGGATGCACAGCAAAGATTTAAAATTGGATATTTTATGTATATTGTCTCTGAATACTAAACACTTCAACCTTCTAAGACAAATGCCCAAAGTAATATTTCATTCATATTAAATGCTGTAATAATGAGGGGAATGTCATATGATTTATCAAGTACATAAAGCATTGTAGTATTTATAAATAGTATTTAACAACAATGAATAGATTTTTTTATAAATATATAGATGTTTCTCCGTGTGTATGCACTTTAGACAACACTATGTAAGATAATTATATAAATTACATAGCTATAATGGACAATTAGGAACCCAATTATACTCCAACATATCATTATACTATTATATAGTACTAATTTACTGCCCTCTAATACATATTTACTGCTACTGGTTTCCAGATTTTTGGCCTTGGAATAACTTAAAAATCTGCAATTTTTTAAGTTACCAGGAAAAAACCCAAGTATTTCTTTCTCGCCCCAACCCAAATTTGGAATTTTGCACCCAAACCTCAAATACTGCCAGAGGCCCAGAAACTAAATTCCCACTGTCACTGCAGTAACAGGTTAAAATTGCAGCACTGTGTGCCCTTGCAGTGCTGCCAGGAGGCAGCTTTATCTCACTTGAAATTGAGATTTAAGGCTTTGAGTGAGACACAAATCACCTGCCCAGCCATCTAACTCACTGGACCTCAGCACCATGACTTTTAAAATGCAGTTTTGAACATTTTATACATATTTTCTCTAGGATTGGAATCACAGTGTGCAAAGGTGTCTGGTCTTACCAGTTAAAAGGATAAAACTCCTGAAAAAATTTTTCTATGCTGTTAATATTTCTAATAACATTTTGCATTGTCCCATGCATAAAATATTAAGTATTCCAGAAAACAATATCTTCCAAAATAGTTGTCTCAGGACTCCTGGAAAAGCCTGAAGAGCTCAGCAACACCTTAGACAATTTTGATAATGGCTCACCCCAAACTTAGACTATTAAATCTTTGTAGGACACCATTGCATGGCCCTTTTTACTAAAAGAGAGTGTTGTACTGGATGGAGTATTAGACAAATGTGCTGAAAAATGTTTTGTGAACTATGGCTCAAGTGATGGCAGCTGTTATAATCTGCACTCAGTTCACCTCTACAAGGAAAATTACAACAAAAATTGCATGACAGCATTAATAAAAATTCTAAGCTTGGTTCTATATGCAGAATCTACCTTGTAATATGTCCACAGCAAATGGTCCTTCCTCTTATAGTCTAATAGGAGGATCAAATTCCTTCAATGTTCAATGAGAAGTTTAA